AAAAAACATAAAAAACATATGTATATTAAAGAAAAACTTTTAAAAATATTACAGCTCCTGTCCAGAGTGTCGCGTATCTTCAGATTTTGTCTGTCCCAGTGCCTTTTGGGTTGAAACTAAGGAAGAAAAGGATAAGTTGCTCAGCGACTATCGATTAGCGCTTGGGGTAAAAGACTGCAAATACTTTAAAAAGGTAATATTTCAAAAATCAATGTTAATTAATTTTCTAAAAAAAATGTTATTGCAGGGTGATGGCAAGTGTCCATTTGGCAACAAATGTTTTTACAAACATGCTCTACCCAATGGCGATTTAGTTGATGTAGGCTGCCCAAAGCGTGCACGTAAATTACATCGTGGCTCAAACGATTTCATCGATTTGCTAGATGTATGTACAAAAGTATTAAGATTACGTGTGCAATGAAATAAATTATAACTTTATTTCAGATTTATTTGTGGGAGTTTGTGGAGCAACGCGACTACCATTGGCTTGACTTTTTGTCCGGCACCAGCGATGATAGTGATGATAGCGACTTTTCGGAGGAGTAAAAGTGTGCAGCTATTCGATAACTCCAAAGTTGTACAACTATCACATCTTGGCATCTATTAATCAATGTGTTACCAATATTAAGTTACGCAAAGAAAAAATAGAACCTATACACAAGTTAGATATCCAAAAAAATGGAATAAATTCATAACAGTCTATTAGCTGAAGCAGATCCGTTGTTAAGTATGCCAGAAACGGATTCCTAAAATAATATGATTAAATTGCACATATGAAAAAGGCGGCATTAAATAGATTTCGAACAAAAAAAAAAAAGAAACGACAGAAAATTGATTGTAAAAAATATACAAAAATAGTATAATCGGGCCGAATGACTCGTATCTAGCTTGTACAAGTATATAGAAAAAGAGCGATTACATTTATAGAAACACAAAACAACGAACTTTTTTCGAGTAGTAAAAACAAACAAAAATAAAGTGCATAATAAACAAAATAAGAAGTTTCCGAGCATTAAAAAACAACTKATAAATATGTGGGCATTGCAGAGAGAATAAACAACTAAAAAAAGAAATACAATAGAAATATGMTATTACGGAATATTTAAATTTAGATATATGTGCAAATATGTAAACATTACTTTGGTCATTTATCATATGATAAAAATAACAAATTAAATGTGTTAAATATTTAATATATATACATATATCAAAATTAACTACACAATACAAGCCGCATATAACCCACTGGTAGGAACTGTTTTTACGAAAAGCCATATCACAAAAATGGCGTACAAATTTCAAATGAAAAAAGAAACAAAAAGAAATCCTTTACATACATTTGAATTTGRTTGTGATTTATACTCGTAATTGCCACGCTGACCGCCATGGTGTCGGCTTCAATTGTAATAAACAACAATAATGATCATAGCGCTATGCGCGAGTTTGGGCGTGCGCCTGCCTTAAATGTCCCCCACCATCGCGCGCAACGAACGTGCACCGGATGAAATACGACTAGTGTTACTTTTATTTTCAAATATTATTAGTGATACGTACATCTATTTTTTATATACCTAGTTGTAAAGTTGGAAAACGCCAAAAGTTTGCTTGCGGCTGGATATAAAATATAAACGCATAGTAATATTTACAAAATTCCAACTAAAAGTTATGCAAATGCTGGTTAATAGATTTTGTCATGCATTCATTTAAATCTGCTTATCACGCCGTTAAATATGTAGTTTCTTGTCCTATAAACCACCTATTCGCCTTTATGAATTTTCTTCTTTCGTATTTATGTTGAAGTAATTGAACACTGGAATTCAGTATATACTTAAGTTGTTATTTGCTTAACAAATTACGGTGCAGTGTAAAAGTGTAGTAGTTTATTCAATTTTCGTTTTTTGAATTTGAAATTCATACGTACATATATGCCAAAAAGAACGTTCACATTTTTATTTTTTATTTTTTAATTATCAATATTTTTAGTTGATTATTATAAAGATTAAAAGTTAAATTGTTCTTAATCTATTTACCATATTTTTTCATTTCACATGTTGTCTGTTAAATGTATTAAATATATATATATAAAATTTGATTGCAAGGAATAAAGTCAAACCCGTTATATTAGCGTTTGTTACATATAAGCGTTAGAATTAACATTATTTTTATAAACAAACAAAAAAAAAAAAAAAAAACACTAAAATCCCTCATATGATAGATATAGCGTTAACAAATTAATTGCAATGAGTTAAAAATGCGCAAAAAATCTATTAAAGCGACATCTTCTGTGTATGTACGTATGTAAGCGCTTGCTTCAACACTTTACTAAAAAATAAAGAAGCAGAACAAATCATAAAAAATATTAATTTTGTATTTAATGTAACTAATTCTTTATTCATAAATATATACACACCTAACAAATACGATACACAAACTCATACATACATATTTTATATACTAAAAAGCAAAAATGGATTTATCAATTACACGATTGAAAAAATATATACTTAAAAATGTATTACATTAAATTGAAAATACCTCCACAAATTTATGCCAGCATACCCTAAAGAGGAGCTAAAAAGATCTAATTAAACATAAATTGTACTGTAATTACGCTAAAATCTCCTCGTACACAAAGTACTAATAGATAACTAGAATTACCGAAAGAAAACTATCAAAGTAAAACAATTACAACAAAGTCTAAAATAAAAGTCTAAAATCAAACAATAACACTTAATAAAAATATAACTTTGTAGGCGATTAGAAACCAACTGCAACTACATATAAATATCTTGATTTATTTATTATAAAAATTTAAGGTAAGTGGGAATCGTTATACGATCTGATCAAATTTGACATGGATTGARGAAAAGAAAATTTTACGTATTTTAATACAAATGCTGTTGTTGTTGCAGTGTATAAAACATTCCTTAAGCCATTTTAATCAAAAATTCAGGCACGTTCCGGTTACTTAGCTACAACAAATAAGCTCCGATGGTCTTCAATGGCTTCTGCAAACTTTTAGTGAGAAAGACAAAAAAAAAAAAAAAAAAAAAAAAAAAAAAAAAAAAAAAAAAAAAAAAAAAAAAAAAAAAAAAAAAAAAAAAAAAAAAAAATAGAAAAAGAGCCAGCTGCCACTGAAGTCATCTTGTGACTTCTAAATCAAATCACAATGTGGCGTGAGAGTCAACTAAGCACTAGCCAGGCACAGTGCCTACGTTTCTTTTATAGCGCCAGCTGGCAGCCAGCTTCCCTCGAAGTTACCTAGCGACTGTTAAACTACATGACATCGCGGCGCAAGAGTCATCTAAAGACTGGCCATGCACAGTGCCTGCGTTTCTTTTATAGCGGCAGCTGGCAGCCAGGTTCCCGCGAAATCACCTGTTAAACTACAAGAAATTGCGGCGCGAGTGTCACCTTATCAGTGGCCATCCACGGTGCCTGCATTTCTTATATAGAGCCAGCTGGCAGCCAGTTGCCTTAAATTCATGGTATTTGGGAGGGGTTGTGAAAATTGGACGATGGCATGGCACCGTTCACTTTATGGCGAAATCCCATATCTAAACTCGTTTCATTCTCGTACATTTCTGTATCACCGTACGAAAATGGAATAGGTGAAATTGGACAACAACTACGCCTACTTCCCATTTCAGATAATTTTAAATTCCACTTGATTCTTTTACTTTCTAGAACACAACTCAAGAAACAATTTATATAACGGGATAGACCTTTGCACGAATAATTCCTTTAGCGTATGCCATCTTATGACCAAAAGTTGTTCAAATCCAACAAAAACTGTTTAATCCGCTTGGTACCGAATATTTGGATCTCAGTACCTACAGTTGACTTTTTACCGCAAATATAGGCCAATGTGTGAGATGCACTATATGTATGTATAATTGAAACTTGGAAAGAACCCTTTCTTTATAAGACTTCCCTTAGCCGCTATATACCTATTATAAAGATTTCCGAACTTTCGGGAGACTTGAAACCGAATATATGGGTCAACATGTGAGTTATCTTAATAAAATTAATATAACGTGTTTTTTAATATCGGTGCAATTTTGTGTTTAGAATGAATAAAATCCGGTAAAAACTTGCCCTAGACCCCATATAACCAACGAGCCTTTTGCAACTGAAGATATCGCCCTGGCTTTAATCCTTGTAAGTCGTAAGAGTATGAAATATTGTTTTTTCACTTTGGGTACTCTTAACAACTCTGCAATTTTCATCTCTTAACACATTTTTATCCTAAATGCGCGCTCTCACCAAAACTTCCAGCACCCATAGCGCTCGCACACAATGCTCATGCTTTCCTATATGCATGACATAAGCTGCGTGACCACCAAAGGAGAAATAGTGACGCTATGATTCTTTGCATTGTTGTTGCAATTTTTTTAATGTTCGGAGTTGACCTTCAAATATTATGCATATAATAATAGATAGTCAAGAGTTGTTCTATTACTAACTCTGCACATTTGAAACTCTTACCATTGTTTTCAAACACGCATCCTAAATCCATCCTTTCACCAAAACTTCCAGCATCCTTGCATTTACATAAGTTCATTTTCGCTTTTAGATTAGCTTACTTCATTTTCTCTTCATCAGCTATGCGCTCTTACTTCGAACAGTTATACTTGCATATCAATGACACGCAGACAACCTGCGCACATCTCATCAACGCCCTCTTTATCAGCTATGATCTCTTACATTCAACAGTGATACACCTGCATATCAATGTTGCGCAAAGCGCCCTCATGCACACACTCGTGCGCTCATATGTACGTGACTAAGCTGTGTGCTCATCTCATCATTGAGAAATGGTAATGAGTGACGCTATGCTTGTTTGCATTGTTCTTGCAATTTTTTAATGTTCGCAGTTGACCTTGAAAATATTATGCATATAATAATAAGTAGTGAAGAGTTGTGCCGAATTTTCTAGAATCGTGGAATGCGAAATTAAGGGGAAAATTCCAATTGATGAATTCAATGTAACAGTAAAAATATTTAGTTACCAGTGGTAATGAAAGTGAACACATGTAATTCTTGGTGGATATTGTGAACATTTGTTAAAATTAGTGAAAAGTATTTGTTTAAAGTGTGTAATTGTGTTTTTTATCTAATTTAAAGTTAAAATCGTTAAAAAATGCAAAAATAGTGTCGTGAAAGTCGTAATGTGTTAAATTCCTCGAAGTTACAAATGTTTATTTTGTGCAAATTCCTTAAGATCGTGGCGGGTTCTTTCGTGTATGTGTATATGTGTGAATATAAGAAGCTGCATGCGTTTCGCTGCTGGCTAAAGTCGCATGTGTCGGGTATTAAGTGCGATAGTGTTGTTATAAAAAATAGCGCGTGGCGTAATATTTCCAAGACAAGTTTAAAAGGGTGAGTTTGTAACCAAATTATTTCAAACTTATAATATATTATATGTATAATATATTTATATTTGCTTATAATACACTTCTGTCTATATGTACATGCCAACTGGTCGATTTTCACTAAATAATCGCATATGTAGGAAATTCTGAAGAACTTCGCCTAAGAGATTATGGATCTATATTATAATATTATAATAATTTTTTCGCTAGTTTTGAGATATCCGAAAGAAATTTAATTCTATATAATAATATTCTATTATATGGTATATATAATAATAGTTTGGTTCACTTAAAAATTTTATGTATCACCTAAAGTTAATTGAGATAGATGTATGGTTATGTTTATATAAATGATCAGGTCAGGATGACAAGGTGCTTTGATATCTGGGTGACTGTCTGTACATCCGTGCAGGCTGTAATTTAAATAA